CTGTGAAAAGTGTAAGAAAAAAATTTTCACCCTTGGAAATAAATGAGGGTGTCTACCTTTAGGTTCTGTGGTATTAATGTTTGGTTCTTACTCTTATTAGGCACCCCATACCCATTATATATATATATATATATATATATATATATATATATATATATGTGTGTGTGTGTGTGTGTGTGTGTGTGTGTGTGCTTTTCAACAAGTCGGCCGTCTCCCACCGAGGCAGGGTGACCCAAAAAGAAAGAAAATCCCCCAAAAAGAAAATACTTTCATCATTCAACACCATCTCACTCATACATAATCACTGTCTTTGCAGAGGCGCTCAGATACGACAGTATTCCAAACCCCTCGTTTAAAGTGCAGGCAGTGTACTTCCCATTTCCAGGATTCAAGTCCGGCTAACCGGTTTCCCTAAATCCCTTCACTAAATATTACCCTGCTAACACTCCAACAGCTCGCCAGGTCCCAAAAACCATTCGTCTCCATTCACTCCTGTCTAACACGCTCACGCATGCTTGCTGGAAGTTCAAGCCCCTCGCCCACAAAACCACCTTTACCACCTTCCTCCAACCTTTTTGAGGACGACCTCTACCCCGCATTCCTTCCCCTACAGATTTATACGCTCTCCAAGTCATTCTACTTTGTTCCATTCTTTCTAAATGACCAGACCACCTCGACAACCCCTCTTCAACCCTCTGACTAATACTTTTAGTAACTCCAAACCTCCTAATTTCCACACTCCGAATTCTCAGTGTAATATTTACACCACACATTGCCTTTAGACGGGACATCTCCACTGCATCCAGCTGCCTCCTCGCTGCAGCATTTACAACCCAAGCTTCACACCCATATAAGAGTGTTGGTACCACTATACTCTACTTTCGTACATTTCCTTCTTTGCCTCCATCGATAACGTGTTTTATCTTCACAGATTCCTCAACGCACCACTCACCTTTTTTCCTTCATAAACCCATCCGCTGACAAGTCAACTCCCAAATATCTGAAAACATTCACTTCTTCCATACTCCCTCTCTCCAATGTGATATCCAATTTTTCTTTATCCAAATCGTTTGATACCCTTAGCACCTTACTCTTATCTATGTTCAGTTGAATCTCGCAAAAGCGCAGTATCATCAGGAAAGAATATCTGTCAACTCCCATTTTGTATTTGATTCCCCATAATTTAATCCCACCTCTCTCCCCAACACCCTAGCATTTACTTCTTTTACAACCCCATCTATAAATATATTAAACAACCATGGTGATATTACACATCCCTATTTAAGACCTACTTTTACTGGGAAGTAATCTCCCTCTCTCCTACACACCCTAACCTGCCTCACTATCCTCATAAAAACTCTTCACAGCATTTAGTAGCTTACTACCTATTCCATATACTTGCAGCATCTGCCACATTGCTCCCCTATCCACTCTATCTTATGCCTTTTCTAAATCCATAAATGCAATGAAAACTTCCCTACATTTATCTAAATACTGTTCACATAATATGCTTCATTGTAAACACTTGAGCTACACATCCCCTCAGCAAAATTTGTTGACAATGCCTCTCCCATTCTATCATTTGCTCTACTTTTGCTCTCTCTTCACCATTCTTTTACTCTCCATATACTCTGCCCTTCTTATATCACTTCTGCTTTTGTAAAAACCTCGCATAAGCTACCTTTTTCTCTTTTATCATACCCTTTACTTCATCATTCCACCAATCACTCCTCTTTCCTCCTGCACCCACGCTCCTATAACCACAAACTTCTGCTCCACATTCTAATACTGCATTTTAAAAACTATCCCATCCCTCTTCAACCCCCACCCCCCCCACTACCCATACTTGTACTAGCCCACCTTTTTGCCAATAGTTGCTTATATCTCACTCTAACTTTCTCCTCTCTTAGTTTATACGCTTTCACCTCTCTCTTACTTGTTGTTGGCGCTTGGAATTACATTATTTTTAAAAGTGGTTGTTCTGCATGTTGTGATATCACCTGTTTACTGTGATCTTACTGCATATATATATATATATATATATATATATATATATATATATATATTATATATATATATATATATATATATATATATATATATATGTCGTGCCGAATAGGCAGAATTTGCGATCTTGGCTTAAATAGCAACGTTCATCTTCCATATAGGACAAGTGAAAATTTGTGTATGCAATAATTTCGCCAAAATCATTCTGAACCTAACGAAAAAAATATATTTCACTGTGTTTGTTTAGTATTAAATTACTGTAAACAAATCTAAAATATATTAAATTGGGTTAGGCTAAAATAAATTGCTCTTGTTATAATAAGGTTAGGTAAGTTTTCTAAGATTCTTTTGGTGCGAAATTAAAAATTTTTACATTAACCCTTAATGAAAAAAATATATCTTTAAACGTATAAAAAAAAAATTTTAGAAAGGAAAAGTTAAACTTAATTTTAAATAAGTTCTTGCTAATTGACCAATTTTACATTTTCGGCAC